CTATAAGAGAACAGTCAATAGTCACTTTGAGGTTGTGTGTGTTGTCCAAAATGCTCAACCTCTGTGTGTGTGTGTGTGTGTGTGTGTGTGTGTGTGTGTGTGTGTGTGTGTGTGTGTGTGTGTGTGTGTGTGTGTGTGTGTGTGTGTGTGTGTGTGTGTAATAAAACAGCGATGAGGATTTAAAGGCTTAGGCCCCTATTTTGTCTACACATGAACACATACAACTGATGCGCATGGATTTGGAAGTCATACTGCTAATTTGGCTTAATAAGTCTTTCACATTTAGGCAGAGGGGCCTTCTAGTTTTTTTTGTTTACATTCATTTATATATTAATGTTATTTTACATCTTACTGTTTGTGTGTGTGTTCAGCTCGGTTTATGACTTTTAAATAAAACCTAAACCTCTCTTTCGGATCGACCAATTTTCATACATTTTGACGTCAACACTACCTCCACATGGCCAGAGGAGGGCGCTGCTTTCCTGAGGCTGCAGATGGGACTTCTGCTCACTACACATTACAGTGTTTCTTTATTTCCCCCCACACACACCAGGTGCACCAGCTATCCATTAGCTACAGGCCTCTTGGCTTTGATCTCAGTGGACGCTTCATAGCATTCGAGTTGTACAGTGTTCAAAAAGCTCTGCACGTACATCTGGTTAAGATCTGGCTTTAAATGTAGATGTTAATAGTGGTTTTATGAATATATATAATGTAGAAGTGTGCCTTTACTCCTCACCTTGCTGGCCTTCAGCACATTGACCTGATCTTGGTTTACCGTGTCCTTGTTCTTCTCCAGGAAAGCGTCACACTGGTACTCCACCTGCTCGGCAACAAAAGAGCAGTGTGTGTTATAAAACCAGAGAGTGGGATTTATCCATGTCTTTCATTTCTGATGAGAAAGGACAGTTTAGCTACTCTCCCTTGCATTTTAATTTTAAAATGTAATTAATTTTTGTAAGTGTGATCCAACTTAAAGAAAGGTGTGTATTCACAGAGTCTTAATGTTTAGGCTTCATTTATAAAAAAGGTAAAGGTTTCTATCTCTTGGTTTAACGGGTTATTAATCTGACCAGTGACAGTAAAGCCTTCCCATTAGCTCATGTGCAGATATGAACTCTTACTGCACGTGTCTTTAAATATAACATCAACCCTTGCAAATGTCTGGTCAGAAATATCTCCAAGAATCCTATTTTAATGTGGGGGGACTTCACTGGAAAGCCTACGTTAGACTTCCCCTGTTAATCATGTAACCTTATAGTGGGGATATAAAAAGTCACACTGAGTCATACACTCTTGAAACGATATGAAACCTATTTATTAAACTGGATTAAACCAGTCAAACACATGTACGGTACTCTAAACATGTCATTGCAGTAAAGCTTTTAGTGTGAATACAATGACAACATTAACAAAAAGTCATCTGTCCTCGAGCAATGCTAAAAATAACCCCAGCACTGCAGCAGCCGATCTGTTTTCTGCTGAGCTTTCCTTCAGTAGCTCAACCACATTTAACACTATGAGGTCTGGTCACTGCAGCCCACCTTGTCAGCAAAATGTTCAATGATGAAGGCGCGGTTGGACATGCGTGGCTTCTCAAAGAGGGAGCAGGTCTTCAGGTGTGTGTTGTACAGTTTCTGAGCCCAAGAATCATCTGTACCTTTGGGCATCTGGTGGAGAAAGGGAGAAGACACAGTGGAAACAAACGGTAAGAAAATATGTATAAGCATCTGCTTATAAATACAGAAATACTATGAACATTTAAACATATCTAAAGCATTGTAATTACATTACATATCATCCCACAAGAGTGTATTTTTCTGATTCTTTTTTCACCAACAAGACAAAGCAGTTGTCCATTCTGTGTTTGCATTACCTTGCAAATATGTTAGCAATGTGGAGTACCTCAAATGTCAACAGCTTGTGAAACGACCTTGCAGTCATTAAGAGCCACAGAGAGATTCGTCAGCATTGTGTGTAAACCTGCTCCGCTGTGAAAGTGTGTCGATGGTGCAGATATAAGCACTGCCTTAACTCTACACTGGTTTCCACCTGAATATTAACTCAAAAAGCTAAATTTGATCTCGACATTTCATCTACATTCAACCAAAGCTTTGCCCAACATTAGCTTAAGTTGTGTTTGGGGCTTTTCTCAACTTTAAGGGGCCCAATTATGCTCATTTTCAGGTTTCTTAAAATTGTTATTTTGTGCCTCTACCGTGACATGTTCACATGCTTGATTGTTCATAAAGTGCTTTATATTACTCGTACTGTCTGTGCTGCAGCACCTATGGAGGGAGCTTTGGGATTTTAGCCATTTAAATGCACAAAATGAAATGACTATGTATACAAATGTGAGTTTCTCAACAAGCAATCATGCAAAAGAATCACTTTAAAATGTGCATCTACCAGAGATGTGCTGAATATTTGTATTGGAAATGAGTCATTCAGCATAATAAGTATTACACATTACTATAAATCAACAAGAAAAAGAGTCAGCTGACTGCGACATGAACAACCAATTAGTCAACGTATTAGTTTACTAATGGGAGTCAGCCATAGTCGTGTAAAGCAATTACAACACAATGAAAACATGCCATCTAACTGTGAATTGACTACGACTGAAAAAGCGTGTTTAGTTTCATTTTGTTTGCCATAAAGTTGTCAATGTTTCATACTGGGTTTCAGAGTCGGGTGAACTCTGTAGGTGTTCAGGTTCAGGTCTAGTGTGGTGGGAGGCACTGGAAGTTCGACAGTCACAAAATGTAAAGCAGAACGTGGGAGAAGTTCAACCACCACCCACAATGCTCTGCTCAATATGCAGCTCGGACTCACTTTAATTCTGAAGGTGAGCAAGACTTATGTAAATGTATATATTTGTCTTTGTGTGCCAATGCAGACTCTTGTTGAAAGACAGAGTAATGATTAGAAGACTTACAGTAGGACCAAGCCATTTATTCCTTATATTTCTGTCTTGCAAACAAAACAAACGGATGAAATGCATTTCTTAGGAAAGACCTTAAGGAGATATAATGATTTTCTAAAATAAATCGTGATATAGGAATAACACATTGCTCTGTCTGTCATGTGCTGGAAACAAATCTCTCTGCATCTAAAGTGTGTTTCAATCATGGTGAGAAGCATCAAAGTAATATCAGTCATGGGCAGCCGAAAATAATCTTACTCTCCCTGCCCCTAAATCAAAACATTAAAAACGATTGCCTTGTGGTTGTATTATTCCGCAAAGAAGCAAAGTTGCAGTTTATTTCTATGGCTATCTGAGATGTATCACTATATGTGACTAGAAATGTGTGTGAATTTGTCATATTATGTTCTGGCCAAAAAAGTGTTTTGTGTCCTTAACTACCAATTCAGTTCTTCCTTGAGTTCAACTGGACATTTGTTAACTTTTTGATGAATTCAAAATCGCTTTTTGCCCTGAATATATCCAATGGTAACTGTAACTTAATTAAATGTTACATTTTAAAAAGCTTGACCCTAACAAACAGTGTGTTAAGTTGTTCTCTTGAACCCCCTTATTGAATCAAACTTACTGCTCTTACTTGTTTCCCCACATATGATGTAGGGCTGTCCCGAATACCATTTTTCGGGCTCCGGATATTCGGTAGTAATCAGCAGCGAATATTCGTTCCGCGCACGGGGGGGGTGCGTAGTAATCAGCAGCGAACCGCTTGGAAACGTGTATTTCGGTTTATTCAAGGCATTCTTTTTGTTATTCTACAGTATTGTTGTTTTATAGTTATTTGTTAATGTAAATAACCCAATTTGTGTTCTTTGAAATTGAAAAGGATATTGCATTGTGTGTGTTACTTTCGTTGCAGTTGCATATGTCTTAAGTGTAATTTGGCTTGGCTTTCTATTTTGTAGGTTTGAGTTAGCGCTGTTGACAGGAAGTTGTTGTTGCTATGGAAACAACGTGACGGAGATTAATGGAGAAAAGTAATATCTACATATAAAGACGGAGAAAGTAAACGATAACGTTTATGGTTAAGTGTTGGCACCCCCCGAAGAGGCACAAGCTCTTACGTTGATATTGGAGATTTAAATAAATTAAAAAAGAATATCCGAATAACGAAATTGAAACCCGAATAGTACTCCAACTAAGGAATATTCGGATATTCGGGTAGCCCTAATATGATGTACTGGCTTGGATAAAGTAGTACCTTGCACTCCTCGTCCAGCAGGTCCAGGATGCCCATCTTAGCTTCTATGAGGTTGATGCAGGGCTGATTATCGTAGAAGTCGATCAGAGTCCAAGGGATCTGCTCCCTCATGTACTCCTCCTGCTCCAGCTTGAACACATGCTGCACGCACACACACACACACGAGGGGATTAAACTGTGTACTTGCATCAAACAATANTTGAGTGTGGACGGAGCATATAAAACGTTAGCTTAGCCGATCTCCCATTCAGAAAACACGCATTAGGTCTGCAGACAGACGGCAGGCGAAAAACCTTTTATAATGCGTGTTTTCTGAATGGGAGATCGGCTAAGCTAACGTTTTATATGCTCCGTCCACACTCAAAACAACGGCCTACAGACATAAATAAACCAGCGACTGTATTCGCCATGAAACAGACAGTCTGTGGTTTGTACTTGTTTAACTTTCCTCTAGTTTCTGAACAGATATGAGGAGCTGTGAGCTCTGAGTGCTAACAGCTAACGGCTGATGTTATGGTTTTGTGGTTCGCATTGAAGATAACGTCACGGCAGTTTTATGCAGCGTCGCTCCGCCCGCCGAACTGCGTTACTATAGTTACTACCCCAGTTCCTAAACTGTAATGGAAACGCAGCATAAAGTGAGCCTGGTCTACCAAAGCCTCACCATACCGTACTAAGCCGTGCTAGGTCCTGCAGTGGAAAAGCGCCATTACACACATGCCAGTGTAAAATAAAACTGCAAAGGGAACTTTTTATTTTTGGGGGAAATCAGCAGTTAATTATTTCAATATTGGGCCAGATCTGTAAGAAGGACTAGGGGTATGTTCTCAGAAGGAGCATGTGTGTTATTTTGAGCTTGTATTTGTGTGTAATCCAGATGTAAGGTGTTGGAAAGAGACCACACAAAGGCTTCTCTTGACTTGTGCAGGTTCAATGCCTCCATTTACTAAACTACTCCCCTCCTCATGCACACCGCACCATGAAGCCTTCAGGAATAGGTGTACACCACGCCATTCGGTTTCTCTGTTCACAGGAAAACGTGTGATTGACCTCTGTCTCCATTCCCTCTTGCCTCCACACATAAAGGGGAGCTGAAAGCAAATCTGTTTCTTGCAACTGTGTAACAGTTTCCATATGGGAGTCCTCGGATCCAAGTCTACCACTGAGAGAGTCTATAAACCTTTGAGGTATACATGCAGTGGTTTACAAAGTTCAAGTCAGGAACAAGTTGGGACTGTGGGACGATGATAGAGTATTTATAGGCTGGATCTATTCAGTTCCTAGGAAGAATATGACTTGGCAATCAGGGGAGAGGATATGGGTGGCTGTCATATATTCACACTTTCTCACACAGATAAAAAACATGTTTAAACTATACAACTGCACCAAACAGCTTTGACATTCCCACTTATCGCATTACACACACATTACAGACAATGTGCTCTTGAAAAGATCATCTCAAACTCAGTGGTTAACACCTTCAAGAGGCTCTGTAACAAAATGGAGATGAAGAGCAACTGCTGCTGAGTGGGAGCAGGCAGGCGGTGCACCTGCAGTAAGTTAATCAGTCAGTGTCTCGGGCAGCTTATACAGGCCAGCTGTGCAGCTCTGCACTCCGGAGGGTCCCCTGGAAAAGCAGCACATTTCCTCTCATGCTAGAATCGGGCACATGATAAATTGGTATCCAACAAAGGCAGCCATTCAGGCTCTCTAAAAAGCATACAACCAATTGCTTGTGTATGAGCGATGAGCATGGAATTATGCCTCACAATTGTATGTATTCTTCACTCTCCGCCTACAGCAGAATCACCCACATAGGCGCCAGTTTTGCTGCAGCACAGATCGAATTGGATGGACCAGGTTTTTGCAGCATCTTTCCTAAAATGGTGGATCTCTGTAAAAAGGGGTTCTCCTCCATTTGTGAGTTGTAGAAGGTTTTCTATTGTTCTAATTGATCTTTGTCAGGAGAGAAATAACCTTGGTGATGTCAGTGAGGTCATAAGGTGGATCTCAGCTTGCGTCTGGAGACTAACAATTTATAACGAAAAGCACATGTTCTAAGTTTTGTACACAGGGTTTGTGATGAGGTGGTATTTACAGCAGGGAGGACTTAAAGGTTCTAGATATGGATTCCAGATCATATCCATGAATCAGGGATTTCATTCACAGCACCGTCACCATGGAGACAACTGAGCTGAATGCTAGCAGCTAACAAGTGCTAACCTGATGTATGGAGCGTTCAGTAATTGCTGTATGAGTGCAGAGCTGTGCATCACTAATGCATATTGTACCGGATATGCGATTAGAGAACCTTGCCTTGAACATGAATTGCCTAAATTATGTTTCATACCCCCTTCATATCAGTAGTGTACATTGCATAAGACGCGAGCTCTCATGCAATGTGTGGTGTGTTAAGCAGGTTATTTGTGGGCAAAACCAGTAGCTCCTTGCAGAAAAGGAAAACATCCTCTAAAAAAAAAGGTCTGGTCATGTTATATCACTGTTCAGATTATAAAAATGGAATGGCCAACGTTGAATGCACAACGTTAATAAACATAACGTTGTGGATTTACTTGATTTTAGGATTTTATGAAAAAAATTAAAAAACCTTACCTGGAAGAATTTACTTGCTACTATTTACACTCAGATGTCAGAAGTTAAAACACACACACACACACACACACACTACACCTGCCAGTATGCATTTTAGTCCAAAAACAGTAGCCATTGAAATCCTGACATCCATACAGTAGCAATGCGCCTCTGGAGCGATTCACAGCTCTGACGGACCCTCGGGATAACTGCACTGATGTTGAGTTGAATTCTAAACCGAACACCACTGACACACTTGTTACCTTACATCCTTCAATTAAATACACAGGTACAGGTTAAAACACACATGCGATCCATTTCTCTGGTACACACACACTCTCAGGATTCCACAGGGACCACACATGGTGCTGCTGGTGTTAAAGCTGTTAGCCACGGTCTGCGCTCAGCTCCATTCCAAAATGCCTCCCAGTAGTAACTTCAACTCTCCTAACACATGGGAGCACATCCACCTCCCCGTCCCTCTCTCTATCTGTATGCACCATCATACTCATATAGGTATACTAATAATAATAATAATAATAATTCAAGGAAGCGTCCAATAATAAATGCCTGAATCAGAATTGAATTGGGTGCATATGTATAGTAGTAACTATAGAGTCAAATAAATCATGTTTTGGTGATTTGATATGAGTTTGGATCATGTTGGTTGTTTTACAAATAAGCTGACTTACCCTGAATTTGTAATTCTGTAAATTTGTATTTATTATTTAATTTTAAATACTATGTGGGTTAGGGTTAGCATCTAATAGTGTGTTATTTGTATTTTTCATCTCTATCTATACTGCTGTAACAATGTAAATGTTCCCTCTGCGAGACGAATAAAGGAATTGTGATTCTGATAAAAACAATGCGGACATCGGCTACGTCTGGAGCTTGGGCTGTTCCAAGCTCTGGAGCAGGATGAGTCTAGATTCCAACAAAAATCCCTGTGTGACCATAACCCAATATAAACTCTGTGCTACGAATTCTGATACCAAAACCTGTTATTGTCCAGAGGAGGTGCATGCAGGCTCCTGCAGCACCATTTCATTCCTCAGCTGGATGATCTGTCTGTGACACCTCCATAGCTGCAGCTCCATATACATACATACATGTACATACACATGATACATACATTACATACATACACCTCCATAGCTGCAGCCCGCTCACTCAGGAGAGATACAGCAGAGAGGGCTTACACACTGACAACAGATGATCGCTGGGACGATAAATACAACATGTGTGGCTTATTTAAAGCATCTTAATAATAATAATTATTATTATTACTATTATCATTATGAAAACATTAATAAAGTTAGTATTATTATTATATTATTATATAATAATGACAATTATTATTATGAATATATGAGTTGCTTTCTGAAATCAAAGCTCACTTCTAGAACGTATCCAAATACTGCATACAGTTTTAATTAAAAGACGATGTGAATTCAATGTCATTTATTGATATAATCACCTTTTTGATTGAACAATAATACAAAATATTCAGGTAAAATAATGTTTATATATTATTATAACCTATTCCATATCTGTATTTTGTGATCTTTATTAGAATTGTATGTTTCCACAGGGAGTAATGAAAGGTGTCACTGTTCTGCATAAGGAGATGATTTTATAATAAAGGACATTGTTTTTCCATCACTTTTATCATATTAAATAAAGTAACAATTTAATTTCTGCCGTAAACACAGTGTACCTCAAGTGTCTCAGAACAAAACCTGTTTTTTCCGCCACACACACAGCAAGCAAAGCTGCCATTTTGTTTGCCAATTGTTGGTAAAAGCGGTTGCAAACAGATGATTTTATAAAATGCCAATGCTGTAACTTTTATTGCTCCTTTAACCTTTCATTCTGGACGCCCAGAAGAGCCTACAGACAGTTTTACAGCGCTGCTCGGAAACAAATAAAACGCTGTGTGTTTTGGTATTCTGCGGGTCTCGTGGATTGATTGAAGTGGGAGTGTGTTTTGAATGATGGGATGTTCTGAATTTGGAGCCTGAAATAATTAAAGATTGTAAACATGTCACTGACACCAGAGATAGAACAATCTGTTTAAGCTCCATGACACTGACAATTACAGCTTCAATATGTTTCTGTTTTATGTTGCCCAGAAAGGCTTTCAATGATTCACCTCTGAAGAAGAGAATGAAGAGAAGTTTATTTTGTAACGTACGTCCATCAGCAGCATGATACATTTGTTTGTACATGGATCAGAAACATGTGCGGCAGACGGGGGTTCTGGTGCCACTCACCTACCTGCTGGCTTAAATCAAAATGGCGTCGCCTCAGCGGGGCGGGGGGCCTGCTCAGAATTGCGGCCTGTGAGGAGCAGAGGAATCAAAGCATGTAAAGGAGGAGCTAATCCTGTTAGCATGGTGTGGACTGAGGGGTTGCTGACCCAAAACACAGAGTCCAGCTGGGGGTGAGACTCACACAGGGAGCTGGTGTGTGTGTGTGTGGTGTGTGTGTGTGTGTGTGTGTGTGTGTGTGTGTGTGTGTGTGTGTGTGTGTGTGTGTGTGTGTGTGTGTGTGGTTGAGGATCAAAGAGTAATGGGTGCAGGAGGTGAAAAGTAAGGTTTTCGTTCACAAACAACCAACATCTGAGTCGGTCAGAGCCGCTTGGAGCAGATCCTCAGAGACTGTCCTCTGAGTGACACACACACTGTGCTGCAGAGATCAGTGTGTGTGCAGGGCTCCACAGTGTGTTCCTGTACCTACTCAGTGTACATCATCTGTCTGTGACTCTTCTGAGAACATTCAACTTGGAACATTTTCAGTAAATGAATCAAAGGACCACATATTAGCCAGGCTGCTTTATGGTCAATCCCAAAACAAGTGCTATTAAAGTAGGATGACTTGTAGTCATTTTAATAAAACTGTTATTTCTTTGGAAGGAAAAATAAAACCAGTTTTCTTTCAAAAAGCTTTAATTTGTATAACTAATATTTAATTGTATTGTATTATTAATTAATTAATTAATTATAATAATGTATGAAATAATTGGATGTTTTAACATGTAATTATAAAATGAAACATACTACATCATAACTTGATAAGAACATTTTACCTGGTCCATATATGTATAGTATACCTATCTATATTTGTGTTGAATTGAATCATCTCCAAACAAGATTGACCATTTAGGATTATAAAGCCAGCTCACTCAAACATTGGCCTTTCTTTTTTATTTAATAAGGAAAGGTAAAGAACAGTTGTAGATTAATAAGAGAGTCAATAAGAAAGTGGCTGATATATCTTCTGCTCTGATCCTGGATCAGACTCCTGCTCAATCACAGCCTGTTGTTGTGATACTGTACATCCAGCAGGCCTTCTGTTTATCACATCATTAGCATGCAAATTAGAGCTGCTCTGTAGCCGCAGGGCCGGCCACTGTCACACACACACACACACACACACACACACACACACACACACACACACACACACACACACACACACACACGCACACACACACACACACTGTCCTGTGTAATTGGTAGGGTAATGTTAATTTGTCTAATTGTTTTGAAATTGTCATCACACTCTGATTGCACACATGCACACACTTCGCTTTTATTGCGCAATTATGCATGCATGAAAAGCGGGTGTAGCATGTGAATAAATGAAATCTATGGGATGATTACAGAGAGAGCAAACTGGTCTGTGTTCCCCATAGATCAGAGGCCAGCAGAGTGGAAGCAAACAGGTAGAGACAGAGATCCAGTCAGCCTGTCACAACATTTACCTTTGGATTTGAAAAATAGATCTCAGCCCACTGTTACCCTCTGTTTTCTTCCTTTTCTTTCCTTTTTTTCTTAAAAGAGGGGTTATACTTTCGTTAGCCTGGCTCCACAGTGATTACAGTAGAGACAAACCATTCCTATAAGGGAAGTATGAAGCTGGGGATGACAGATGACCTGCAGGCTGCAGGAAATAGCCGGTTTCATCAGGAAGATGCGCACTCGATAAGTAATTTGGTCCAAAATAATTACACAGTGGACTGCTGTCAGAGGCCGTGCCACACTGTGAGCAGCTTCACGGAGAAACACATAGATTGTTTTATAGAAACGTTTTCAAAGACTTTCAAACTGTTTCTAATGCAGAAACATCTTATTAACACTGATCAAAGAAATACCAAAACATGTTTTTCCAACTTCATTACATAATCGTTAGAGGTTATAGACACATATTTAGAGAATGCAAACTCTTTCTGTTTGTCTTTAATCATATTCACGGTGATGAGTCATTTACTTCTCTGATGAAGAGGCCATCTCTCTGTTACACATCTATTTCCATTATTATCTGTCTAAAATGCCGCCATACTGAAGCCACCTCCAGTCATTTAAAGCAATACTTTCATTCACTTATCTTTAAGATAAAATAAAAAGCTAGGGACTGCCAGAAACTCACATTAAATCATTTAAAAATAAAAATGTGTTTTTGTGTACAACAATGACATGTTTTACATTGTGTGGGACAACTCAAGCGTTAAACTCACTATTGAACATGTTTGAAATACTTTGCACATTTGTGTTGCTTGGTAATTAAATACAAAATTAATTATTGTATATGTTTGTGAATCGGCATGCAGGCGGTTTAAAGGCTTTGGATACTTCACTGTAATGCATTTTTTAAAGTTTTTTTTGGAAGACTCCCTGACCCGGAGCCACGGTGTCAACATCTCTCTCACACACACACACACACACACACACACACACACACACACACACACACACACACACACACACAAAGTGGTGACTGCAGGGTACTGAATTCAAGAGTCTGAATAAACCAGATAAACTACCTGTATAGTCTAGCTAGCAGATTACATGATTCTCTGTGTGTGTGTGTGTGTGTGTGTGTGTGTGTGTTCCACAGGGTGTGTTGCTGATCATCTGCAGCCATGTGTGACCAGACGTTCGTAGCGGCCACCTTTGGCCCCTGCGAGTGCTGCGGGAAAGCCAGTCCTCTCATGAACATCTACATTAAGACCGAGGCCATCAACTACTGCTCCTTCTGTGTGGAAGTGGTACGTGTTCCTTTAGGTTTCTCATCAGCTGCCAATTCATTGCAGATTGGACCAATGTCTGCAGTGTCTCTAACACTGCTTTGTGTACGTTAGTGTGGATGTAATTATAAGAAGATATTTATTTACTGAAAAGTAGGTAAAATAGATTCAATCCCTACAAACCCAACCCTTTGTCCCTAAAATACCTGCATCGTGCCTTTAAGTTTATATATGAACATATGTAATGGTATAACAGCAATATGTAAGGCATGCAGTTGCAAAGCTTCTACACTTGAAGGGTATCTTTACTTGATGAGGATCACACTAACGCTTTGCACTGACACTCAGCAGCACCTTTTGACATGCAGCTGTTTTAGCTTCAACACACCCACACTCAAACACAGTCACACAGGAAGTCATGGGGTCCTTGAAGAGAGAGATGCATGCTATTCAACCCCCTCATGATCTGTGTTTTTGTCAACAACTTACTGGGTGCTACCTTAAAAAAAATTGATTGAAGTGTGGAATAGCCGTATAGAAAAATAGCAAGTTACATAATAATTGTGAATAAAATATAGCTCATCATTTGAAGATAAACTTGAAATCTACAAATGCAGACAATGTGTTCTCTGTCAAAGGTATTTTAGATTGACTTAAATAATAATCCCTTTGACATTATTGTCAATCAAATATAAATATAAAGGAACTATTTGTTTGTATCAATGCATTGATTATTTTAATTTCACACAAAATGCTACAGCTGAAATCCTTACCCTGCAGAAAAGGGCAACTTGATAATTATGCAATTTCATTAGTGAGCAAAAATGTAATCTGTTTTAAATTATAATAATCACAATGTATGTTTGATATGCGTGTCAATATTAATATGGCACAGTATAACAACTTTTGTATTTGTATGTATATAACTAAAGATTGGTTCACACACAATTAGTACAATTGCTACAATTTACGAAACACAGCAGTGGTGTAAGATTTAGAAAACATAATTAAAAAAAAGGCTATATGATGCTCAATGGTCAGAAAAGCGATCCATTGTTCTTAAAAATGATTTAATTTGGAGATAATGTGGAAGACCAATGCTGCAGCAGTGTCTCCAAATGCGTGTGGTGCCTGTTAATGTATCTGAATGTGGAGGATGGAGGATGGAGAAGGAGGGGGGAGACTAACAGAGCGCGAGCTGTCAGAGTGACACGCGCGGCCGGCGCAGCATCACTGTCTCTAGGCGAATCTTTCCAAATCCCTTTAACAGCATTCGTCACATTTGGCTGTTTCTGCAGAGTTTCTCCACCCTTCGTCTCCCTCGTCCTCTAACAGTGTGTGTTGTTTTTCTCAAAGATGGCCTGCGCGGGGCTCACGGCGGGAGAGTCGGTCGCGAGCCTGAAGAAGGAGAGCGAGACTCTGAAGAAGAAGCTCGAGGAGGAGCGGGGGAAGCTCAGTGACATCGAGTGTGAGTGCCCGATAAAAACTACCTTTACTCCTGCTGTACACTGCATCTAAAACCGCCTCACTCTTCGTTTTAACACGTAGGCCTAGCATTAGGTTTTGTTTGCATAGAAAGCTAACTCCATGTTCTTATTTTAAAAGTATAGCCTTTTTGTGTCTGTTTAGTGATGAGGATGAGATTGTGCACAATCGTGGTGGGATGTTTGACTATATATATAATATGTATTTGTATAGCATTTTACGTGCAAGAAATGCTAAACAATAAAGTTAAATGGACATAGGATACATGTATTAATTAAAACACGAATAGAAATCCAGGATGGAAAATAAAACACTTAGAAATAACATAAAAATAGGTTTAAACAGATAATAATATTAAAATCAGTAACCATATTTGCAGCATGTGCACTTTTAATACTGAAGCAGGAACAGAAGGTCTCCATACTCCTTAGAATAAGTGTTTCTATCTTTATTTGCTATCAGAAGCCAGCCTGGCAGTATATAACGTATAGGTCAAATAAGCTTCTACGCAGATACATTAAATGCTGCTAACACGTTTAAACATCTCTACTATAAATGTATCATCTTATAAAATGATGAAGCACAGGAAGACACCATTTAGCAGTCATACTTTGAGTTTGCTGATGATATTTTTAGTAAGATTTTGATTATTTCTATCATGGAGCCTTGTGTTTTGTTTACATCGCTAAGCAATACAGTAAATTGAATACATGTTTAAAACAAAAACCACTATAAATGTGAAGATGGGTAAATAAAACACTTAAAAATAACAATAAATAATATTAAATAGTATGTATAGTTAAATAAAAGCAACTGAAAGTGATTAATATGAATAATAAAAGCAGTATGCATAATATTTAACTTTTAACTATTTACTTTTCAGAACAACTACTTTACACACAAAACCTTTGAAAGATCATATTATTTTCAAAGATTAGCCTGCCTGCTGTTTAGAAAATAGTTAAAATTAGCTTCTACTGTACGCAGAGACATTATATGCAGCTAACACGTTCAAACATCTTTACTATAAATGTAACATCTTATAAAATGATTTAACACCAGAGAAGGTAAAAGTACACACATCCTTTACTCAAGTAGAAGTACAGGTACTCGTGTTTAAAAATACTCTGGTAAAAGTAGAAGTACTGACTAAACTTCTTTACTCAAGTAAAAGTAAAGAGGCTTTGAAATGTACTTAATTAAAAAGTACCCATAACTAGCAGCTGTTTTAAAGAGTACCTGACCTCCCTTTATATGAATAGAACAATAATATCATTGTTACATAACGAACGTTTCCATGCTGAACAACGGCAACATGACAAAGTTTTAATTGGTCCCTCTTGTTTAGAGAAGACCAGGAAATGATGGATACACGGATCGTGTTCAAATCAATAGGCACGCAATGACTCTAAATAATAATGATCACGCCACCAAACGCAGATTAAAACTAAAGGAACCAGCTTGTTTGGAAAATGTAAGAAGTAGAAAGTACAGGTATTTGTGTTCAAAATGTAAGAAGTAAAAGTAAAAAGTCGTCAGAAAAATAAGTAGTGGAGTAAAGTACCGATACCAGAAAAATGGACTTAAGTAGAGTAACGAAGTATTTGTACTACACTACTTCCTGTGGGGGAAACTTCTGAAGCAATTGGAGTCAGGACTCAGAGAGACACGAGGAGAGCTGGAGCTTTGATGGCAAACACTGACTGAGAATTCACAAGACATGTCACGGGCCCCGAGTTGACCACACGTTTGAGATGCCACAATCAATTCTGAAGAACCCTCCTGTAGCTCGAGGTTTTAACTAGTTCAGAGTGTAATAATCAACATTCTTCAAAAGATAGACTAAACAGCTGAGGACACTGAATCACATTTGTTGTCGCTTATGGCTCGGGAACCCCGAGAAGGATGTGTTCCAGGTGTCCCACAACAATAACTATCTCCCGGTCACAAAATGGCAACATCAACAATATGCTAGGGCAGCCCCTCCTTAAGGTTGGTCTGCTGCGTCAGAGGGCGAAGGAGGGCATGCAGGGCAAATTATTCCCCAACACTTCCCTCCTCTGTTTAACACAGACAGACACTTTGAGTTTACTGTGTATTATAGTAAGGTATTGAATGAAGCTCTGTTTCTTCAGTAAACCAGGTGGCAGAGAAGGTGGAGGTGCTGGGCGCTCTCGCCATAAAGACCAGACGTGTGCTGAAGGGTCACGGGAACAAGGTGCTGTGCATGGACTGGTGTAAAGACAAACGTCGGATAGTCAGCTCTTCACAGGTAAACACACGCACTCCTGCACACACACATGTTCATTTTATGCTGTAAGACTTCTTCTTTTTTAATATGGATTTTCTTCTCTTATCTAGGATGGCAAAGTGATTGTCTGGGATGGATTCACTCTGAATAAGGTGAGTAGACGTCTGTGTGGTGCTTTTGTGTGGATGGGTGTGGGAATTCATTTGTATAATAACTTCTATTAATTAAAGGTGGGGTATGTAATTTCTTTCAGATACACTTTTTATTATATTCCATGGAATGCTCTTAACATCCCGATAGCAATGAATATCTGAAGTGCTTTGACCAATGAAAAAAAATCGGCCAGGCCTACTAGTCCTACTAAACCAGTCAACCGAAAAATGTCGCGGTGGCGAAGGTGTCTACCTGTAAAAAAGACT